TCCTCCGTTCTCCTCTAGGGATCTTGGGCACGCACGCACACACGCCTGGTGTGAGTTTAAGCCACCAGGCCCGGGACATGAACTGCGGTCGACTACATGAGAGTCCAGCCACGTAGCCATTACACTAACTGCCGGTCCCTAACATCTTTGATTTATTGAATATCAGATAATAAATGTAGAGTAATAACACTGCTGACATTCTGTTTAAACCATATTAATTAATTAATTAATTAATTAATACAAATTAATATGTATTTTTTACCAGCTTTGGGGAACTCATGTGAAATATGCAAACTATTGTTGGTGACCTACAGTAAAATGTCATAAGTTACTTGATTTATATGGACTACATCAACGATTACCATAGTGTCTGTATCATAGACATTTAATAAATTATGACATGCATAATAATAATAGAGGACTTTTTCATAGAGTGATTTAATTTAATTGTACTAACTCTATAAAAACCTAGAATTACCTTTTTCTCTTTCATTTTCTTATTATATTTAATTACAGTACATCTTTACAGCATACAAAATGGATTTTGAATACACTATCTATTAGCCCAGTCAAAGATATTACCATATACATTATCATCAGCAGATACTTTTCCATTTTTTTGTGCCTGTTAAATGTTTTGAGCTTTGTTTTTGTTTTTTTGTGTTTTTTTTTTAAGAGGTTTTTGCTATAGGGCGCATGCGCTCGCCAGTCAGACAGAGAGAGACAGAGAGACAGAAAGTGAGAAATCACCCCCCAGGGGGATGGTCACGCCACAATCCCTTCTCCTCCATTCTCCTCTCGGGATCTTGGGCACGTACGCACACGCGCCCTGCGTGAGTTTTAAGCCACCGGGTCTGGGATGTGAACCGCGGTCGACTATGTGGGTGTTTAGCAACATAGCCATTACGCTAACTGCTGGTCCAAAGTTTTGAGTTTTTGACTCCTTGATTCCCTCCTGCCCATTTCCCATCCTCCACCCTCCTCCCACACCATTTCTATATCCTTGGGACAAGGCATAATTACTTTTAAAGTATAAGGTAATTAAAGTATAGAGTAATTAATCAATACAACAACTCCTTGCATTCTGTTTTTATATCTTTTTAAAATTTTTTAATTTTGTTCTAATTTCTTTTAAACATTCAATCACTAACCATCACTTAAGTTGCAAAGGGAATTTTCCCAACATGAATATACTTTACACCAGTCTAGTCTGTTTTTATAATTATTTGAAATATTTTTTTCTAAAATAAAGAAGAAGACAAGAAAAGGAAAGGAACAATTCTAAATCAATTAGACACGATTAAGTAAAATAAAAATAGAAATAGATTTGAGGTCTTCGTAAAAACAGCCCATATTGTGATCTTACTGCAGAAACCTGTTCATGTTAGACAAACCCATCTTAAGATAGCAGTTTTAATGCATAACATTGTTTTTTATTCAATCACATAAGATAATAAACCTAACCATAAATGAGCCTTCTTTTGTCTTTCTATTCACTATTCTTCTTTAACCAAGAAAGAATGTAAAGGTAAAAACATACTAAGTCAGTATATATTTTTTTAAATTTCATCAGTATTTACATAAGAAATGTATAAACTTTTTGGTGTGTGTGCCTTCTGACTTCTGCAGAAGCTCAACTTTTCCTTTAACTTAAAAATTGTAATAAGCAATTGGGAGAAGGCCACACCGCAATTCCATATACGATTGCCATCTGGCAGCAGCGTTCTAGTTTGGTCTGATTTGCTTCATCTTGTGGTAGAAGGTGTCCATCTGAAGATAAATAGCCTCACACTCAGCTCAGCTATAGAACCATCTTACCTGTCAGGAGAAATCTGTGGTCAAGCCTATTAAGGACAGTCTTTGTGAAAGCACCCATATTTTCAGATATTGAAAGATTATCAGAAACTATAGGTGAGAACTCCAGACACCTCTTCCCTCTCTAAAGCCTCATTTCTGTTTATTTCCCTTGCAATACAAATCTCTTCAAGGCATGATCTTCCCACTTCAATTTAGCCTCTAACCTTTTAGTGGGTTTCCCTGTCATTTCATGTAACATTATTCTTTTGGTATTTTAAGTGCTTCTTTTTAACAGTTCCAATAATATAGTAGTTAATTTCCTATTGCATTGTATCTCACTCTAAAATTTAAGTTAGTCATGGAATTAGGTTTTTGTTTATCATTTTGGTAAGGAGGCCACATCATGTAGCTATGTTCCATTTATGTTGTACTTTGAAATGTCTGATTGACATATTTTCTCAGTTAAGATCAGAAATATTTGATAAGTGATTTATCTTTTCTAATTCTTTTCTATGACCTCTTGTCTTCTCTCTTTCTGGTTAAGTAAGTTTAAGAGGGACTATGGACATGGTTTAGTCCTTGGAGATTTGAACTGCAAAGATAATTACCACCCATGGCCTTGCCAAGAGTCCTTCAAGAGAGAATCCATCTGATGAAATGTAAACATGGGGAGCTGTTTTAGCCACTGTTATGTACCAAATTGTTCCCAAATTGAGCAGTGTAATAGTAAGTTTTTACCATTCACGATTTTTGAGGGTCAACTAATGGTTTAATCAGATGGTTCTGACTCATTTAAGTAAACTACCGACTTGAGCTACTGTCATCTCAAAGCTGAACTTTGAAGTTAGAGACTCCATTTGCAATTTCATGCCAGTGGTTGTTGGTATGTCTCTTTCATGCTGGCTTTTCAAACTTCTCCAAAAAAGCTGATTACAGCTTGAGGTCTTACTTCCCCCAGAATGATGCAAGAGAAAGAGAAGAGTAAAAGAACATACCCGAGAGAGAATCTGTGGTCTTTTATTATCTTATATCAGAGGTGATATGCCTTCATTCCTACCATGTCATAGTGGTCATACAGACTAACCTTTATACAATGTAGAATGGATAAAGGGTTCTTTGATTTGGCACAAACAATATTATAATTATTGTTTATTGGAT